TATGTGAATGACTGGAAAAAGTTTTTCTCGTCCGGTACACGTATCCGGTAGTCTTCTATCTGGTCATTCTTATACTTCAACTATTGACTTCAACTACTGATTTTCAGCTCGGGGAGTTGATTCGAAATGCACAAGCCTCGAAGAATCATTGCCCAGTCACTCATATACTACTCATCATGAAAACACTGGAAATCGGTCCTAGCGTCCAGTTGGCTGCGGTTAGACGCATCTAACCCACAACACTTAAAACAGAATCATCACCATGATTCGTCGAAACTTTCTCATCTTGAATCAACTACCCGAGCAGCGAATGAGACTTGCGTTGACATATTATATATATATATATATATATATATATATATTCAGCTTATCGTGGTTTGATTGGACAGTGTGTTTGCGTTCTACGCATGAGGTTCCAGATTCGATTCACAGTTGGATTAGGCGAATCGCACTGCTCACGAGACCCATCCGGATCGAAATGCTTCCCAGTCTTTTAGTTCCGGCTTCCTTTTCCCTGTACACCAAGAGATATCTCATAGAAAAGAAGTTGAATTTATTATATGAAAGAGTCTCCCCATTCGCCTTATTTTGAGAAGACTATTATACTAGTAGTTTCCCCTTATAATACAAGTTTCAGTTCTATGCCTTTATAACCTAGTTTTTAATCTTTAAGTTTTATGTCTTATTGTCAGCATCTATTATTATGATTACTATTATTATCATTATTAATATTCGATGAAAGTGAATAGGACACAGGATCCACATAGCAACAATTGATTTTCTCGCTAATAACCAACCGGAATAGGCAATTATCTGGCTATTTCTTATTCATCATCTTTGTCTGTCACTTATTCTTGTATTTTCTCCTCTGTCTCACCCTCCCTCCCCCTCTACATACCCCCACTCCCAGAGTTTTCTATGACTACTTTTACCTGTGAGAGTTTGAAGATCATTTCTACAGCTTGGTGCATATTAGATGCTACTACTTGCTTGCGGAAAAGAGGAGAATCCGTTAAGGTTTTATAGTTGAATACGCTACTACTAAGATTCTCTCTCCCAAACCTTAGAATATGTAAAATCATTCTGACTGTTACCCCTGTAACCAGTATATTTTGCGCGTTCCCAATAGTATTCAATGGAATCGTTAGTTGCTTTGCATAAAAGGTGGTCTCACTGAAAAGTAGCCTACGCTTCTAACACAGGCGTTCTTTTATTATTCTAACAAACAAACCAACAGCAAACTTGGCCATTTACCAGTACAATCTTAGTGGACAAACATTACTACCGGCTATGATAAGTAAATGAATTCCGATATGAGCTGATTGGTACAACGGCTCCACACGGGCCACTCGTGTCAAGTTCTAACCCTAACTGAATGAGTTGTCTTGTGGAGCATATACCGCTGGTAACCAAACTGACGCCACCGGTAAATCCAGTGGATTGTGAAAGCGAACTGAACATGAGGGTTAATCAATCATTGATGATGCGCGTCTTATTTTTACTACTCGTAAGTAATTGTGAAATAAATATGGAAAATGCTGAACCCTTGCAGTGCAAATGGAACGGGATAGCAAACAACACGCAGATTAAACCGGTTACATCATTGGAAAACGAAATCCATTCTGTCACATTCATCAAAATGATATAAACTCTTTTGGGTAAAAAGATTATTAATGGAATTCAAATGATCTAAGAATTCTCCATCATTCTAAAACCTTTATTCCATTCTTTTAGTTAGTATTTCAAGCAATGAATTACATACCGTTGTACACAAAACTTGTAGTTCGTTCTTATCTCATTCGGCTGGGTAGAGGAATAAATGAGTGAAACGCTGCAGAGAACTGGTAGGTGTTTCGGTCATTTGTTCGTTTGCGACTGCATCGGAAACACACATCGCACGAGGGAAGGAGCACCGGGGTGGATGGAGGTGTATGTCTGCACAACCAAATACTGGTTCCAGAGAAGAAGAAATTACCTGTGTGTGTGCGTTTGTCTATGTGTGTATTTTGTAGTGTTTTGCATACACTTTGAATCCCTCTCACTCCCGGTCGTTCTCCTTGAGCCCGTGTACTTTTTATTCACGGGCTTTTTCATTCTGGATGAGAATAGAACAATATCACGTGTAAAGATTGAGTAAATTATGAGGTTTGCGATTGTGTATTATCAAAAAATAATCAACGAATCTAATGTGCATTTTCTGTTTCCCAGGTTTAATTCAGGTTTAATCCCCTGCCTTTGAGATGGACGCGCCCTGGTTTAGTCGCTGTCACCAGTGTACTTTGGACCCTATGGTCCGAGGTTCGAGCCCCGTAACTGACCACCCAACTTTGGTGGTAAGCAGCTTTGCCGCCATTCGGTTCAATACCATGGCTAACCCAGAGGGGCCTTCTCTGGTTCGCCACCCCTAGTCCCGGCGGTCAGGTTACCGGTGTCCGTCACTGAACAGCAGGTCTTCGTGACTATGGGTTTTACCCTGTCTGCTGTTCATCACACACTGGTGTGTAATAAGAAATCGTTCTTTTATGGCTTTCCTAATGACTATTCAGATTCACTGGATCACTTCTTGTCCAGCAGCTATTGGTTTCGGTTGTTTGCTATTGTTGGTACTGCAGATGAGAGTATTGTTGGGATGGGAGAACAGGACGAACTGATCTCAAGTGCGGATCAATAACTAAAGAGTCCTTTTACTCGCACTGCTTTCTCTCTTTTTGTAATTGTTTTTGATTATAGGTTACTTGCCTATTCTGTCACCTTCCAATTAAGATCGATATGATGATGATGTATTTCCATGTCATAGTATGTTGAAACCGGATAGTAGGATGTTGTTTTCTGCTAGAGTATTCTAAGTGCACACCTCGGTCGGATCTGTACCCACATGTTGCTGCCAATGGGTTTAAATCTTTTGAGAACTGCGTACCCACTCGGACCCTTGAACATCGGCTTAGCGAGCTAACACAGAAAACATCACCAACCACGTAGCAGTCATCCTATACAACAATCTGCGGTAGTATTCTCCGGTGGAAATAGGAATGTAAATTTGCACCGTTTGTCTTTTGATATTCTCCCGGGGAAACAATTTAGAAAGTGCATTCTTCAACTGTTTGTTTTTCTCCCTCTTTTTCCCTCTCCCTATCAGTACATTCTGTCTATCACAGCTCTGATTCTCTTCTGTTCACGAACATTTAAACAAAGGTCTTCACCTATCCTCCTGTGCAAACGTTATCTACAAATGTTTTAATGACAACAGCCATCCTCTCAATCCCGTGATCATGCTAAAACCAGACACTATTTACGTTGTTTATGAGTCCATGTAACTCAACTGTAGCTGATCCAGGCCGCATTATTACTGATACAGACAAATTGACCCGTGAAATTTATGCGAATCGACACAACTGATCCCCATCTAACTCCTTCTTGTCTTTGTTCTAAATTAGTTTTTTTTACATTTTTTTCTGTTCATGCAATAGGGAATAAGTTTCTACTTACGAGCGGATATAGGTGCTTCGCAAGTTAGAATAGAATAGAATAGAATAAAATGCGTATTCATTTCTCAAAGTGACCTTGAAATCAATATATTTACACTTTCACATGCATACCGTGCGATTGCTCCATCGTTTCACATTGTCTTGTCCCTCTCACCGGTGACCTGACACAGTTAAATTCCCTCTGATCCTCTAAGCGAGTTGATTGGTTAATATTCCACGATTTAAGCAACTTGGACCCCCTCAACCTGACACCGGACCAACTGATCACTCGTTTCAAAATGTTTGTGATGCTCTTATTGTCATCTGTCTTCCATCCGTGTGATAATGATACTTCTGCTGTGCGCAGTCGAAGTTCACAGGGCATCATTCAAACGATTCGAGATTGTGGAACGGGCGCGGGTTGGTTGGGTAAACAGCATGGTTTTTTTCATCTGAAACATCGGACCGATCGATAAATGAATCCGATCGGTCGTGCGATTATCAGACCTGCATAGGAGGATTGGTTATATATCCTATGCTGTTTAAGTGCTGGTAGAGAATCATTAATGGAACGATTCACCCTTCGGGCAATTCGAAATGGTAAACTTTTATGCCATGACCAATACCTGATTGGTCTAAAATACATACACTATTTTTCTAATCGGTTCCGTAAGATGGATATCATAGTAAAAGTAAAGTAAAGTATTTAAACATTAAACTTGTTTCATATACGAACTCTAATATCCACGAATATAGGCTTACGGTAACACAAAACCGGCTTCTTTATGAATTTTTACTATCTCCTTCGTCTGTCTTTTCGTGAATCGCCCTAATCACAAATATTGGTGCTC